ACTTGTCTGGTTTTGTTGATGAGCGGTTTTTTGCTTTGTTTTTTGACTTAGTTCTAATCATAGTCACTTCCCTGTACTTTTGGCTCACTCTATCTCCCTCGCATTGAGACCAAAACAAAATAAAAACAAAGGCTAATTAACAAAACCAGACTAGTGTCCGACCATGCGCAATCGGAGTGATGGTTATAACATGTATGTATAAAAAAAGAGATAGGGGTCATCAAACCTTGACGGCCGAAAACAGATGTCCTAATTATTTTGAGCTATCACTATGGGTTTCATGCATAAGCAAACACAAACAGGCACATACACATGCAGAGACAGACACACTCACAGGCTTCGAAGTTGGCATAGGACCGTAACTAACCAAATCACTTCATACTTGATCAAGATGTAGAGTATATATATCACTTTTTAGGGATTTGCCGGTTAGTTTTCTTGATTCGTTAGCTTGAATTTGATTGTGACGATGATACCTTGCTCTGATGATGTTTGTCATATGATGGACGAAAGCTTAGAACCTTTTCAGCGGAACAGTAGGAAATTACCTCATGCGTCAGCATGAATCTTTTAGTAAAGCCAATCGACAGCTGGTCAAGCGGAATCCGCCGTCGTCTTCTGGTGGAACCGACTTTCAAATCGCTTCATCCAACAGTTTTACTCGAAACGGAAGTAAGCTTAACAATTATGAATCAAGAGATTCCTCAAAACCCACTTTTTCTTCACACATATGAGATATATTCACAATATTTCGTATAGTATGATAAGGAGACTGATAATTGAATTTTTTCACAATTATATGAGTAGACCGTACGTATTCTTTGAATTTCACGTAGCCTTCATTCCCAAAAGGTATTTTTATCCAGGATAGACTGTAGTTTTGACCCCGCCTAGGTCTCATCAGCACCTTTCTAACCATGGTAGTGCTGCGTACAATCTCGACACGTTAACCACTACGCTACACTGCCACGAGTGCCTTTGGGTAACAGGTCAGATGTGAACTCCAAGGAAAGCCAGACATTTTCCCATATCACATTATGTAGCGGAATCCTCGATGAAACTAAGTTAAATTTACTATATAAATCGACTACATTATTTATTTTTTGTTTATACGTAGGATTTAGAGACTACCAGTAGATGATATGTATGATTATCTCTGTAAGTATGTTTTAAAGTACATGTAAAATAACTAAGTGATACCATTTAATAGACTATGGATATCCATATTTATTAGTCGTTTTTACCAAAAGTTACTTTTGACTAAGAGATGATAGGTATGTGTATATAGTATTTGGCTATATTTAGACATGACAATTTGATAAGAAGCGTAACTGAGTTTCGATGAATCACCCGAGATAAACTTATTGTGTAGACCTTAATTTTAAATGAAAGTGCATGGAGAGGAGATTCATAGGTTGATCTCATTAGAAGACGATGGCAGAATCCCGTTATATTGCAGCCGTTTGGCTTTAATACGACGTTCAGGTTGACGCTGTCTACGAGACATCGTCCCTCATTTCGGGTGAAAACGGGCTGAGCTTTCGTCCATCGTATGATGGACATCATCCGAGCTGGGTCTCATTCCTGTAAAAGTCTTAGGTCAACACTAGTGCAATAGGATCGGTTGGCTAATTATCTTTCATACTGGTCCTATTATTTTTGCTCGAGAATGTGAGGATGTATGTGTGTTAACGTCTATATGCTAGGATAGAGCCGCCTATTCTTCTTGACCTACTGTTAACGTGAGGCTTTTACAAAAATGAACTCCAAATCTGATGACGTCCATCATATGATGAACAAAAGCTCAGCCTGGTTTCACCCGAAGCGAGGCAGGATGTCTCGTGGGGTACGTCAAACTGGACGTCGTATTAAAGCCAAACGGCTGCAATACAGCGGAATTCTGCCATCGTCTTCTAGTGAGATCAACCTACGAATCTCTTCTCCATGCACTTTCATGCGAAATGAAGTTCTCCCCAGCAATGACAATTTTCCGTATAAGATAATTTGAATGGGAAAAGGCATGGCCTTTTTTGAAATCCACATCTGCCTTCTAACCTAAGGGCTATTTCGGCAATGTGGCCGAGTGGTTAATGTTACATGCTCACATACTGCACTATTACAGTTCGACTTACAGTCCACTCTGAATGAGAACAACTTTCGGGAAAGCAAGTCTCTGTGAAATCAAATGGAAACGTCAGCTCTATTCAAATCCTTGTGGGAAAATTTTACTACTAGTCTTCATTACCTTAAACGAAATTGGTTAAATAAATCTCATATAACTGATTTACTGATTGTCTCGAAACTCTGCCTATACAAAAATAACACGCACACTTCAAACATTTTTAAGGACTTTAGTCTTGACGTAATAACAGGATAGGGACTCAGACTCCATTATATGCATCTATTCCTATAGTCTCCTACATACCTATATCTATAAATTTATACACAAACAGCTTTCATTTTTCTGTCTTAACTATCCCTTAAGGGCATGGTTGTTCTGGCTGCAAATCAGATCTGGTATACCTGGGAGGTGGAAGATGTGTTCAACAAAATGAAACTCGGAGACAAGCATGCCATGAAAAGATTTAACAAAAAGTTACTCAGCCAACTCAACGACATGGTCGTTAGGGTACGAGGATTGCTTCCACCCTTGGTGCTGCGCAAGCTAGAAACCGCAATGATCCTTGAGGTACATGCAAAGGATGTGGTGGAGAGCTTTGTCCGTGACAGGTAAACTCCAAAATAAAAATTTTCTATGGACAGATTTATTCTTGTTGAGTTCTTTAAGTATTGGCCATTTTTGCATTGGCTCTATTTTATTTTTTATGCCACATTGTAGAATTAGAAATTGAAGGGGCAACTTTTATTTATAAAATGTCACGCAGCTTCCATTAAGTATAAGGTAATAGAAATATCTTTGATGTTTGAAAAGTATTCTTAAGCTTCCCCATAGGAAGAAATAGGCATTTATTATTAAGAATATAATCAACTTAATATTAGAAAATTTAAATTGACCCAAAATGTAATTTAAAATCTTAGTACATTTTGTAAGATGAGCGATTAATCACATTCATCTACTCACTCAGCTGTATGTGTGCTATGGACCTAAAGGAAATAAAAATTCTCTTCCTGAAATAAAAGTGTGACCATTCAAAGCCTCTGCCATCTACTCCATAATCTTTGCAAAAAACGATAAATTAATATGCGAAGATAAATTAATGCCCAAAAATAAATCACGGTTTATGCTATATCCTTCAGAAATTTTACAAATCTATTTAAGAGTACTTCTGGTGTTCTGAGACATGTGAACGTAAATGGAAGCAAAGTAAGCGTTGAGATTGAGTATAGTTAGTGTTTGAGATGTATTCACCCTATTTTTTCGTATTTAAGTATTGTTTCGAAACTACCAGTAAATCAGTACTATGAGATGTATTCACCCAATTTCGTTAAGGTGATGAAGGACTGGTAGTAGAATTTTCCCACAATGATATGAGTAGAGCTGACGTTTCCATTGAATTTAACATTGCCTTGCTCTCCCAAAAGTTGTTCTCATCCAGGGTGGACTGCAGTTTCGACCTCGCATAGGTCTTATCAACACCCCCAGCTGGAGTCTAATCGTGATGGTGCAGAATGTGAGCTTGACACGTTAACCAGTC